TTCTATAAACAAAATAATAGATTTCATATGCCCCAGCATATTAAAAGTTTCAAAAATAAATTTAAAAAATAAAGTGAGTGAAACCCACAAATTTTGTATAATCTTGTCACTCACGTTCCAAATATTGGTGAATGCAAATCTCAGGAGGTTTTATAACTAAAAAATAATTGAAATGGCAAAGTAAGAGCAAGGTAACAAAAGGGAAACCTTGAAGAAATGGTCATAATATTCATTAGTTAATACATTTATCAGGTATATCAAGACTGAAACAATGTGAAGATTGTAGTCATTAAAATGCAATCATTTAAGTGATAACAAAAGTGATATAGTTGACAAGGAAAGAGCATTTGTATGTATGTTGAGTACTTCAGCTTTCACGGCTAAGGATGAAAATGAAATATTTATGCCTAGTAATAGAATATTCATTACTGGAGGGTAGTATCACTAGGGAAAAATAATCTTTTTTTGTTTGTTTTTGTTTTTTGTTTTGTTTTGTTTTATGAGACAGGGTTTCTCTGTATTGATTTGGAGGCTATCAGTCCAGCCCAGCCTCGAACTCACAGAGATCCTCCTGCCTCTGCCTCCCGAGTGTGCCACCAACGCCCAGCTCACGGGAAAAATAATCTTAAGCAACTAAATTTGGCAGTGCAGTAATGGGAGAGCCAAAAATGGAGAAAATAAACACCATGGAGAAGTTTTAAAAGCTAATGACATTTCACTCAAAGACTTGTATAAAACTGGCAGGAAAAGTATCACCCACCTCCCCCAAAAAAATGTACAAAGCTATGAAAAGGTATACAGCAAATACAGGAAATTCACAGAAAAATGGCCTGGGAAACAAGAGGTTGAGAAGAATAATTATTAATCAGGTTTTGAGAATAAATGTACTCATATTTTTAGGATCCTAACTCAAACAAGCAACAAAAATTGCTGGACACACTGACGAGAGTAAAACATGGATTGACAAGCAAGTATTGGAGTGTCACTAATTTTTAAGAGGTGTGATATTTAAATTTGTTTTAAAGAATTTATTAGTTATAAAAATAGTAAGCCAATGAATTGATTTGATATCTGGATATTTCAAAATATTCATGAAAATCCTAAAATGGAAAACAGATTAATGAAGCAAAAGTAAAGATTGCTTTTGCATCCAGAAAGTGAAGACAGTAAGGCTGTGGAGGTTCATTACATTATTATACTATTGTATGAAAATTCTTTCTCCATCTTCTAGCTCTGTCTCTCTATCTGTCTGTATCTTGTGTGTGTGTGTGTGTGTGTGTGTGTGTGTGTTTGCCTCCATGTACACACATGGAAGCCGCAGGAGAGCAGTGTGCTCTATTCCTTTGAGACAAGGTCTGGAACTGAACTTTGGAGCTGAGCTGGTGACCAGCAAACCACAGAGATCCACCTGCCTCTGCCTCTGATCTCCATCGATAGAATTAAAGAGAAGAATGCAAACACACACAGCTTTTTCTGGAATGTGCTTATCTGTGAGCTCAAGGACCTCTGTGCCTTCCACAACTCAAGTTCTCTCCAGATCACCACCGCACAAAAAATTTTTAAGTTTTTTATGCGTGTTCAAATTTTGGTTTCCAAAAGTGCTACATATGGTTACAATTATCAGTATTTAGAGAACAGATAAATCAATAAATGAAATTAAGTTCATATCCCACTGAAGTATAATTTCCTCTGCTTTCTTTTGCCACTATTTGTTTTAAAGATAAAAGCTTTAAAAGTGAACCAGTTTTATCTTTAGCTGCCTAGATAATTCTGCACTGTTATCTCCATTCAATTAAACCATTTATGGGTGTGGCTAAAATATAAACATCATATTCTTGTAACTTCATTGATGAAATCACTAGTCCTTCAGAGAGGGATAATATGTGCATGGTGTGGAAGAAGTCACAAGAAAAATGAATTTGTTCCTGGTCACAACTCAGTCACCAGCCTCTGTGTGTGTGGACAAAAAAAGCAGCATCAACTAGCACTTCAGCTGGTTCCTCTGATACCTTTTGCAAGCACTCATACCTGGCACACTAACTTATTTTCAGGAAACTTGTGCTCCATTCACGAATCTTCCTATGGTATTCATAATCCCTTCAAGCTCGTTATTATTACCCAGTGTAGGGGGGGGTTGAGGGGTTGTTTATTTGTTTTACTTTTATGGTTCTAGACAACAGAACATATGAAGATAAAAAATCCGAAGAGATGATGAAGGCGGGTAGGAAAATACAACATGAGTGATCAGACTGTCACCCTGGGCGATAGGAGTTAATACCCCTTCGAAGGACACCAAACAGGGTATCGACCTTTGAGACTAAGAGGATTAAGACTGTTGGGAGAACACCTGACCTACTCAATAATGCAAGCTGCTATTAGATATTTCAGCAGCTTGTAGCAAAATTCTATTTTTCAGTAAGTAATAATAGTCTTCATGTAAGAAATACCACCCTTAAGGAAAAGGCACTAAGAACCTTACATGGACACTGATTCATTCACGTTTCCTTAGATGATTTAAGAGCCCAGAAAATGTTTCAGAGTCTCTTTTCAAATGTAAACGCAGCATTAGCTTTAAGAATTGTCCAACTAGCCTGTCTACCTCTAAACTGCTGAGCTTTTCATGGATTTAGGAGCTGAAAATAATCAAATGTATTATATGCATAATGAATCTCAACCTTTATATCCCATCCTGTAGAACACTGACTGAGCAGACAGCATTGCTTGCTTAGTCAAATAATGGAGTCTAAGGGCATATTGCTATGTTTGATAATTCAATGATTATAAATGTTAGTATGCTTATTCTACATTATTGGGAGTATAATTTCAGCGAACATTTCAATACTAGTATATCAAGTAAGAATCTAGGAGCTTCTGTCTGTTATTTCTAATATTTAATGGATTTCATCTAAATGGACTTCTTATTTTTAGACATGCTTATCCTTTTCTTCCTTTGCCCTTCCAGTGTTAAACCATATTTAGGAATTTCCCCTCTAACTAGCAAAGCCCTTACTGGTATCAGTACTTTTTATGGAATCTCAAAAAACAGAATGTCGCCTTTCTTGCCCAGAGCTCACAGCAGAACCTGTTCGTCTGCATTACATCATTAGGTCTGCACACAGCCATTGGGAAATCCTCACAGGGAACGGACATTTTAGATCTCAAAGCTGCTAGGCCTAACTATCTTGTCTGAACCTTAAATGTTGCCTTGGCATGGCAGCCTCAGTAAGCAGGGACCCTTCCCATAGACCGAATAAGTATCTGAAACTTTTAGCACAAAGGGGTTCATCCCAGATCTAGTGAAGAACATGTTCTCTCCCTTACTCTGAACTGTACCCAGTCATCCTTATAGTTCTGGCCCAGGCCCAGCTACCCTCACAGCAGCAATATGGATCCGTTATGAGTTCAAGGGCAACACATGCACCAATGTATCATAGCTCTTCTCCACACACCTGACTCAGAAACTGATATGAACACCTTGATTTTAGCCTCATTGGATCTTCTACTTAATTTCTGTCCACCAGTATCTCACATCTCCCCATTTCTAGTGACAAAGAAATGGTGGTACTGTGTCCCAAAGTGTATGTGTTACTCTTACCAGGATATTTGTGTATTTTCCAATGAGAAGGGAGAAAGCGATAACTGAATTCCAAATCACCCACATCCTCTTCATTCACCAATATTGGATACAGCAGCTCTGCAACAGCCCCATTTCTGCCCAGACCTTGGCCTCTTTGTAGAGTCCACCCTACCCCCAGCTGTCCCCACCCTCCAGAAAACAAGTGACCGAAGTCCCAGAAATGACTCCTGCTCTGAACTCTATTCACCAGGGAAAAGACTTTTCATGGTGGCTTCTTGTAAGAGCCCCAAAGAGAGAATGTGTTCTTGTCACTTGTATGTCTACTCTCCCCTCAGTTCCTTGTCACCTTTTCCTGGTCACATTTTCCTACTAAAGCCAGTTTCATAGCAAGCAAGCTGCTGGCTGAGCCTTTGCTCCCGTGGCCTGGAAGGAACCGCCCATGCTTGCAAAGCACCGAAAATGGAGCAGCATTCTTTCAAATGCTTTCTGGGCAGGATCTGATTTAATCCTCACTTGTGAGCTTACTCATATGATGACAGCATCCCCTTCCATCCCTGAAACCATGGTAAATGGGAATGTCTTATTTAAATCAGTTAAAAGTTCCAAGACTGGACTGACTTTCAGAACACTAAAACAAGGACATTAAGATTGATATAGAAAACCTGAGATTCCCCGTGATAGTTCCGGGTTTCCACGGATGCCCCTATACCACGTTCATTTCAGTGACATAACCTGGTACACAGGACATACACGGCTGCACACTTCATTCTCAGTACCCACCCTGCCCATGCCTTCATTGCCTCTGAACTCTGTGCCCAGAAAGACATCAACCCTAACTTCCAGCCCATGCTCTACTTGGGGAGGCATTTAAACATCTTGCCAATTTTCATAGGCAGGAACCTGCAGCAAATGTATAAATGGAAACTGTAAGGACCCCTGCACAAGGAGGGTGAAATGTCAGCTTTATGCTATACTGACCAAGACATAAGATTTAACATTAGCTTAAGCACCTTACAGTTAACTAAGTTAGTTAATGGATGTCTGAGCTCAGCAGTCACCCACAGGTACCAAGGACAATGGCTAGAACTTCCCTGCTGTGTTAGGAAACTTTGCTATGCCCCGAAATATGCCTGCACTGTTGGTCTTATTACTAATAATTCCCCCTTCATTCTCCAAAGTCGCCTAATGCGACATGGTATGCCCCGTTCTCAGCCACCCCTTTATATGCCACCCTGGGGGGTCCAGACAATATTCCTTCACCAAAACTTATAAAACCCTTTGGTATCTGTATTCTGGAGCCTAGAAATGAAAGCAAAAATACTGGAATTGAACCAAGTTCCCTGATCTCAATGAAATAATGGAGACGAGTGAGCATGGCAAAAGCCAATGACAACACTTAACCATGAAAAGACAACTTTTTTTCTAGTTTTGCAGTGCTTGGTATTTATTGAAAAGAATGCCATTGCCTTTTCCAGGTACTAGAGAGGATCTGGGCTGAATGCCTGTTGGCTCGTTTTTTATTTTAGTACTATTTGTCCACATGTACACATCTGTGAGGCTGCTGCAATTCTGAAAGAAAAATGACAGCTGTGCAAAACCGATGCATACAAGAAAAGAAATGTCAACATTTCAACTGTCCAGCAGGCACATCAGGCTCCTGCAGCAATCTGGTCAGGCAGAGGAGGAACCTGGAAGTACGTTCAGAACTAACCAGGCCCTTGGTCCCTTCAAGGAGGGTCGGTGAGCTGTCCAAATGAGAGTCTCAATAGGTGTAGCCAACTCCGTCATCTTCTTGGTCCCTATCTTGAAAAGTGGATGGCTGCAGATGAGATGCGGTGGGTGGTGGTGATGGTGACGTGCCAGGCATCCACTCCTGGGCAGATGTAGGATGGCTTCCAGTGGAGGCGAGCAGGCGGCAGGAATGCAGGTGGTCTGACCAGTTCTAACCCAGGCCTGGACAATGGCTGGAGCTCAAAACACAGTTCAGATTAGAAGGGTGTCTGGATGGGTTAAAGGTGAACACTGTGAACTTCAGAGCAAGGCCCAGGCCCAACTCAAGCACTTGCAGCAGGTAGCTGGCACAAAGACAAGCACTAAAAAGGATGACGGAGCGAAGTGATTGGCAGGGAAGAGGACAGCGATGCAGAGGGGAGCATTGAGGCAGCAGGAGTAGCGGTGGGGGTAGGGAGGCGGCGGCGTGCAGGGTCCTCCTCGTGTAGGCCTAAGGGGGCTGGGGGCCTAGCAATTAACCGCTTCCTAGTTATCATCATCATCATCTTCGTCGTCATACCAGCCAAAACTCTGCTTCATCTCTTCAACAAAAGCCCGATAATCACAGAGAATGGCGCTATCCGACTGGATGTACGGCACCACCCAATCCTCTGCTTCCCCGGAGAGGAGGCTGATCAGGAATGCCACTTTCATGGCGTCGTTGCAGAAGCGGTCCTCATTCACCAGCATGTAAGACATTGTCTGCACAATAAACTCGGGGAGCCGGGCGTTCTCGCCGTTAAACCGTGAGGGGAAGGGCACCGGGCAGCTCGGCGGACGTACCTGGCGCAGCAGAATGGCCCGCTCACACACCAGCAGCCGCAGCTGTTTCATGAGCCGGTTGTTCTCGATGCACAGGTCGCGATGTCGCACCAGAAGCGCGTGCAGAAGCAACACCAGCTCGTCCACCATGGTGACTGGCTGGCAAGGTCTCGGGCTGTCGGGCTCGGATCGGCTCCGCGGAGCTGCTCACAGAGGCCTTGCAGGAAGTGCGTGTCCTCCGAGAAGTGCTGACCCTGGGCAAGGCGCGGAGGGGGTCTAGCTGGTGGCGGAAGCTCCTCCCACAAGGTCACTCTTGGCAGCCAATGCGCCAGCGCAGTGCGGTGAGAAAGGCGTGGCGGAGGGGGTGCTGATGGCGTGGGGGTGTGGCCAGGGTGGGACTGGCGGACAGAGTGGACGTGGTCAAAGAGGAGGAAGGCGTGACCAAGAGAGCATCGCCCTGGGCCTCTGCCAATTCCCCCAGTGGGATGAAGAAAGGCTGGGGGTGCCAAGCCTGCCACAGTGGAGGGCTGTGTGAGCATAGAAGCTCAGCACTCAGGGCTGGCCCACTCCAGCTGAAACTTCCCTCCCGTTCATCCAATACAGTGTTCCTCTGTAGGCCTGCGACCATCAGCATTTTTTTAGAGTAATGCTTTCTTAATACATTTCCTTGCCTGTTTAAATTTCACCCAGAAAAGTAACACTGGCACTGAGGGTCATACTGCAGGAGGTCATTTGGGTTTAGAGTCTTCGAGACTTGCAAGGGGTGCTTTCATTAAATAAATAAATAATAGTTAGCAAGGCCTTCTCTTCAGTTGAGACAACAATTTCACTAGAAACATCTCCAAAATCTACACAGAGTATCCATTTGCAAACATCCTATCTTTGATTCTATCCATATTCCTGTTATCAGTGCCTTTGTTCCTGATTTATAAACTGTCATGAGCTCTGTAAATTAATTCTGGCTGCCTATTTTAAACGTGATTAGTTGTTGATAACTAAGTTTGGTCCAGGATCCTTGAGCTGATAGCTATGGGGTTTGCTTTTTAAAATACATCTCCACATTCAATCACTTCCGGTCGTCTCTGCTACCTCGATCCCCAGCCTTCTCTCACGGTCTGGTCTGCTATATCGAATCCCTTAGCTGTCATTGTTCCCTTTTGTAATATATTCTCTAGAATAGCCTCAGAACACTTTTCAATTGTGAGTTATATCCTTTCATTCCCCAATTCCACGTCCCCCGGCAGTTTTCTCCCCTCTGCTGCTGAGTAAAAAGCAAGCTCTTGGTGGTCAATATAAGGCCCTCCTTCTGCATGCCCTCTTTACATGGCTTCCTGTTCTGTCCTAATCACTGCCTTGCCTGCTAATTCCCACACATAACCAGTAGATCTCGCCTCCCCTCAGAGCCTTAGGCCCTTCTAGCTCTCTTTCCCCCTTTACCTTCCTACCACATTTTTACTACTTTGAGAAAGGGCTTCCCAAACTGTCTCATCTATATGTGAGTTCTCTGTCAGCATTTATAGCTCCAATCTGTACTTCACTTATCTACATAGTGTTTATCATATTAAATATCATCACCTGCCTCCACTCAAATGTAAGTCAGTGCAGCAAAGGGCCATGGCTTTGCCAGCTGCTCTCTCTAACCCTGCAAACATGCCTAGCCCAGAGGACGCACTCCAGAGGTGCCTGGCAAAGGAAAGGATCTTGAGGCACAGATGCTGAGATAAGAATCATAAGAGGTAGCTTCACAGTATGTCCAGGAATACCCTCCAGTTGTCCACTATGTTCTAGCTCTGCCCACAAAACAATCTCCCATGAAAAATGACAGCTGATGAAATAGAAGCAACGAAACAAATCCTTGCAAGCAGTCTTATTTAGTTAGTCCTTTAAAATAAAGTTGAACTGCCGTCCATGGAAGTGGGAGACTAGCTAGCAAAGGGAAGAGAAGCAGGGCCATAGCTCAAGTACAGAGAAAAAGATAGCTCACACTGGTGAAAAAGAAACCAAGGAAAAAGAGAGGGGACAAGGAATGTGAGCCTTGTCTTCTCCTGTGCTATGAACTCTCCCACTAGACAAGAAACTCCTTGAAATACTGGAGATTAAAGGGTAAGGGGAGATGGAAAGATTAGGGAAAGGAGAAGGTATAGGTGTGATAGGCAAGACTGATGATACATGAAGAAGCCTCAAAGAAATCTGCTAGTTTGTAAGCCAAATAAAAATATAATACATAACAATGGAATTACACATAGACAGTGTTATTCCATTAGCATGAGTTAGTAAGTGAAAATCTCAGTGCTGGTCATGGGATATCTCCTTAACAGTTATTTGTCAGGGAGTCCCCCGAGGCACCCTAAAAAATACAGGCTATTGCCACTGCTCTTGGATGTGTACCTTGACTAGACGGTAAGAGCCTGCAGCTGAAGATACCACACACCTTGGATGAAGGACATAGAAAAAACAACCTCAGGCTGACCAGAAAGCTCTCTCCCTGCTGGCTGTCTCTTAACCACATTCAAACATTTTGGAGACTGAAACTACCTTTGTCCTGTTCAGGTAACCACAGGGTGAAGCAAAGCAGATAAGACAAACACCAGTATTCCCTCTGGGGAGCCCTTTGATCTGGAAGGACAGGAAAGGGTCTGTTCAAAAAACACCCAGAGCTGAGCAGTGCCTTTGTGAAACAGTGTCTCCACGTTTGTAGGCAGTAGAGACAGGCAGTTGGGAATAGCTCACAGAGGAATTGGTGAGGAAGAAAAAATATCAATATCAGTGGACGGCATACACACAAGCTAATGGACATTTCAGCAACATTCAGGTGACATATCAGACTTTCTGTCACCATATACCCTGTTCAAGAGTTCAAGATAGACTTCCTCATTCTCTTTCACCCCCTCAACTCATCTGTGAACATTCTTTTAGATCTGTGTGAAAGTGTCAGGGTAGTTCCTATGACTCTCCTCAGGCTCATTAACCTCACTGTGGTTGTTTGGACTACATCATGTGTCAAGAACACAGGCCTAAGGGCAATGGATGCATAGCTTATGCTCCAAGTTCGGCCTCAGTACATACCTAGCAAGCAGACTGTAAATTTTCTTGAAATAAACATAAAAAAATGTCTTGGTCTCTTGGTAACCAAAGAGGCACAAATAGCACGTGTAGCATTAAGATAAGCATCTAGGTACAAAAAGTAGCTTTGGAGAACTTTGTTTTAATTTCATGTAGTTTTTTGCACAAGTATATGTGCATACATTGCAAGGGCTGTGTGTGGAGGTTAGAGGAAAAGCTTGCAGAAGTCCATTTCAAAAGGATATTTGTAGGACAAACAAAGATCCTTGACACTCTTCAGAGCCAAATCTATGTCATGTTCTTAGGTAAGCATACCCATGGACTGCTTTATCTTGGAACTTAATCTGGAAGGTTTAAGGATTTCTGGACAAAAGGCAGGAATAAGGAACTGTCTTTCATTCTCCTCTGCTTATCAAAGCACCCAGAAACAGTTTGGGTTCTTCGGGTTTTTTTTACTTTTATTTTGTTTTTTAATTAAAAGCACTAAATTAATAATCTCACAGTTGAACCAAATTTTAGTAATATTTTAAGAAGAAACATCCTAAACATTTCATTGCTCCCCCAAATATAGTTTAACAGAGTTGCTGAAAATACAAAATCTCTCTCTCTCTCTCTCTCTCTCTCTCTCTCTCTCTCTCTCTCTCTCTCTCTCTCTCTCTCTCTCTCTCCTTTGACCAGACCATATCCTTGCCATCTTATAAAATTCTTGGAGATGTCCCCTCCTTCAGAACTGAAGAAACATAACTCTTTTCACTCTTGCAAAGGATACTTAAAATTATGGTACCAAGGAAATCTATAAAATTCATAGATTTCTAGGAATTAGTTATAAAGATTTATTTGTACACTATTTTTTTGGTTTTTACGAGACAGGGTTTCTCTGTATTGTTTTGGAGGCTGTCGGTCCAGCCTAGCCTCGAACTCACAGAGATCTGCCTGCCTCTGCCTCCCGGGTGCTGGGATTAAAGGCATGTGTCACCACCGCCCGGCTGTACACTATTTTTATGTTTCTACATTACTCTAATACAGAATTTGTTGTCTCTAGAATATGTTGCTCTTATTTTTCTACTGCCCAATTATATAGTCAGATTCATAACACAAAAGATTATAGAGTTACTTAGCTCTGATCACTTTAGTGTATTTTAGGAAATGTGTGGCATAGTGCTAAAACTATTGAAACAGAAATTAAGTGAGTGGTCTACTATCAGTTGTGGTTGTGATAAATATTAGTAACTGTTTGCTTTAATGCAGGCTCATTTTTCTGTGGTGAACTAAAGATATCTACAATATTTTAACTAGTCAGCAAAGAGATAGGAACAATTCTTACTGTTCCGTGTTTTTATCTAACAAGTAAATGTAAGGAAAAAGCTTAAAATTTATGACACAAGTTCTTATGAAGCTAAGACTCGGCATTTTCCACTTGATGTTCTGGGTAAGGAGCCCAAAGAATTCACATGGAACTTTGCAGAGGAGCAACAAGGCAGTGAATACACGGGAGACTGTCACTCCCTTCTTGGACTTCAGAGTTCAGCAGAAGCATCATGTGAGAGTGACTGAGTGAAGAACTAATGAAAGCAAAACAGAGAAACAAAAACTCCACCCAGATGATCCCTCAATGAATTACTAATCTACAGAATCACACGAAAATAAAATGACAGTTACTATTGCCATAATTTGATACATGGATGTAGGGACTTGAAACATGCAAAAATTAAAGGTACACTGCATTTAAAAACATAAATCCCATTTCAAAAGAACCTACAGAATTTTTTAAAAATCTGAATGTTATTTTTTCCTATATTCTATATTTATCTATTTGACACATTAATTATACAGTCAGGCTAACAGCCAAAGTTCTTAGCTCTCCCTGGTAATACAGAGCCCATATTCTGAAACCATTTCTCTGTTCTTCACAAAACCTTACAGTATTTCCCCTGTGGTGAAGCAAACCAAACCATGTAGCAGAAAACTAGGGAGACTTCCTATCTGCTAATCTCATGAAAACTATTTAACTAACTGTCTTATTTATGTTGTCTATGGCTGAGATAAAACACAATGACCAACTCTTATAAAGGAACTGGATCTGTAGACCAGGCTGGACTAGAACTCACAGAGATCCGCCTGCCTCTGCCTCCTGAGTGCTGGGATTAAAGGCATGTGTCACCACCGCCCAGCTAACCATGGCAACTCTTATAAATGAAATCATTTAACTGGGACTTCCTTATAATTTCAGAGGTTTAGTTCACTATCAGGAAGCATGGCA